ATCTGTCCGATGACCGGCTTATGAACCGATTGAGCGCTGCTGCCATGCCGGTGAGATGCTGCACTTCTTTTACTGAGTTTGGTCTCTCCAAATCCTGGATTGCTTTGATCTGGGAGGGGTCTGCTTCTATACCCCGGTTGGTCACAAGGAAGCCCAAGAATTTGCCAGATCCTACTCCGAATGCACACTTGGATGCATTGAGGCGCAACTTGTGCTTCTTCAGGATCTCAAACATCTCGCCTAGGTCCTTGAGATGGTCATTCTCATCCTTGCTCTTGACCACCATGTCGTCGATGTAAGCCTCCATTGTTCTGCCTAACAATGGTTCAAACATCTTGGTGACCATCCGTTGGAATGTTGCCCCTGCATTCTTTAGGCCAAAGGGCTTGACCTTATAACAGTATAGTCCTCTTGGAGTTGTAAAGGATGTGACCTCCTGGTCTGGTTCATGCATGGCGATTCGATGGTAGCCTCTGTATGCATCCAGAAAGCTAAGTGAGTTGTGCCCCACCGTTAGGTCGACCAGTTGATCTATCCGTGGTAGAGGAAAGCTGTCTTTCGGACATGCCTTGTTGACTGTTTTGTAGTCGACACAGACACGCCACTTGCCATTCTTTTTTGGCACCACGACTGTGTTGGAGATCCATCTCGAGTAGTGCACCTCTCTGATTGCTCCTGCCTCCAGCAGGTTTCCTACTTCTTCCGCCACTATCTCGGCATGGTGGAGTGCCGATCTACGGGTGCGTTGAATGATTGGTCTGGCGGATGGGTGGACATTGAGTTGGTGACAGATGAAGTTGGGATCAATGTCTGGCATGTCGTATGGTGTCCAGGCAAACACTTCGATATTAGAGGTTAAAAATTCCAAGACCTCTAATCTTTCAGTGCTGGACAACGATGAACCGAGCAAAAAGAACTTATCCGGGTTCTTTTCATCTATTCTTACCTCTACCAAGTCTTCCACCGCTTTCTGATTAGCTGTTTTGCCTACATCTGCGAACAGTTCATTGCTCTCAGGTTCTTCCACCGAATGAACGTATCCTTTGGCAGCGCGGCTGCCATTCACCGTGATAAAGCATTGCTTAGACATAATCTGATCTCCATAGACCTCTTCAATTACACCGGTATCGTTGGGGAACCGCATTACTTGGTGGTAGGATGACGCCATCGATCGCATGGCATGCAGCCATGTTCTACCCAAGATGATGTTATAAGTGGAGGGGACCTTTAATACCCAGAACTTCACTTGTTTCGTCACGCTTCCTGCCTTGACTGGGAGGATTATTTTGCCAACGGGCCATTCTGGCATGGAGTTGAATCCAATCAAGGGAGATACGGCAGGTGCCAAGTCTTTATCTTGTAACTTCAACTGTTTAAAGGTGTTGTAGTACATTATTTCACATGAACTGCATTGGTCTATCAAAATCCACTTGACGTCAAAATCCTTGACTCGGAGAGTGACAACCAAGGCATCATTGTGAGGGCAATATATCCTGGCCAAGTCCTTATCCGAAAAAGACATGACGTTCGTGGCCTCTGTCTTCCCCTTCTTGATGGCAAGTTGGGCACTTTGTACCTCTCTTAAATGCTCAGCCTTTTTGATTGATCCTCTGAGCTCGCATACACGCTCAGGTTCGAAAACTCCATGTATCACATTGATAACGCCTTGAGGTGGGGCGTCGATTGGCATTCCGTTGGGGTTGTTATGGTCCTGGGGGGCTGGTTGGGCCCTCCTTCAATGTATTTATCCAGGTGACCTATTGCCACCAACTCCTCCAGGTGCTGTCTCAATGGCGTGCAATTTTCAGTGCGGTGCCCCTTTTATTTGTGGAAGGTGCACCGTGATCTTTCGTCATAGTCCTTCTGAGCTTCCCCAAGCTTAGCTGGCCATCTGACGAAAGGCTCATCCCGTGTTTCACTTAGAATTCGGTAGATCGGTTTCTTGAAGACCGTGGTTATGGCAGTGCGGACTCTCAACCATCTTTTATCCTGGTTATTCTTCTTTGTTCTCGTCTGCCTCGTCCGTTTGCTTGGACGGTCTTACCGGTTGACTTTATGCTGAAGGGGCCTTCTTTTCTGGTGCTGTGGTCGCGCCAGATTTTGCTTTGGCACGTGCGCCATCCTCTTCCACCCTGATGTGCTGATGCACTCTTTCCATCAAGGCTTCCATGGTGAGGGGTGGTGTCATGGTGATTGAGTCCCTTAGTCTGTTTCCGACCGGAAGGCCTCTCTTGTATTGTGCAATGGCGAGATTGGTGGGACAGTCCCCAATCTGGTTGAATGTCTCCCAGTAGCGACTATTGTAGGACCTTAATGTCTCTTTTTCGCCCATGTCGATGGAGAGCAGCTGGTCAATCTCCACCGGGGTTTTGGTGTTTGTTCTGAACCTTGTGACAAACGCCTCCGCCAATTGCGCCTAGGAGGCTATGCTGCCTTCTGAAAGTTTTTCAAACCAAATCAAGCCTAGATCGCCAAGGCTTGACGGGAAGAGGATGCACATTAGAGCCTCGTTTTGCCGATATACCGCCATAACCTGGCGGAAGTGGCTTAGGTGAATGTAGGGGTCCGTCTTCCCTCGTACGTAATGAATTTGGGTTGAAGGAAGCCTGTAAGTAGGGGTGCATTTTTAATTGCCGGAACGAACGGCGAGGTCTGCAACCTTGCTAATGCTTTGTCCGTCGGTTCGTAAGCAGGGCGTGGTAATGGCATTCCAACCTCGACGCTTCCATGCGATCGAGGAGCCAATCGTTGAAGGGCAGAAACTCTGCGAGGGTCGCGCACCCTGGTGTCCTCCTTCCATCGTGCCTTTTCTTCCAGCATGATCCGTAAATCGGATGATCTTGGTAACTCCGTCTGTTTGGTTGATGTTTGGTGCGAGTGTGAAGGTCGATAGGTACTTCCCTCTGTGTAAGACCTCAATGATCTCGTTCTCTCAGACCTGGAGTAACGAGTTCTGGAGGTTCTAGACTGAGTATCGCCTGTCCTAAGGCTTCTACTCTCTGCTTATGATGGTGTGGAATGCCTTCCATGGTCTTCTGAGCGGCGAGAGGGCGTCTTGTTTTTGCACCCCTCTCCTGTCGCCACTCCTTTTCCCTTCATCTGGCGCTTCAAGGCCTCCATGTCTGCCACCATCTTCCCTATTAATTCGTCTTGCTCCTTCACGCGGTCCTCCAGAACTTAAGAATCAATCATCCGCCTTTGCCTGTCAGGACTTTGTGAACGAGAGTAACGGGGGCTGTTAGTCCGCCTCCCCCTAGTATCCCTCATGGGGTTATGTCGTTGGGGCTCCAAGTCCGCCATGGGAGGGATAGAAGGTAGTCCTTCACGCCTTGCACCCCCATCTGGTGTTTGCCCGTCGATGGCGGACTGTGGTAAATCTTCATTGTGCACCATTGCTTTTAAAGAGGAAAAGCTTGATCAAGAGGTTTTGTTCTTGTCTGGCCTTCCCACAGACGGCGTCAATTGTACAGGAAATAAATAAACCTTCTCGTATAATCCTGTTGATCAAGTCTGCGCTCCTCCAAACGTCGTCGCTTTATTCCCTGAAAACACAAATGTGAGCTAGCCGGCGGGTGTGTGCCGAAAACCCCTCCGATGCCTAAGTCAGAAAAATGGACAAAGACAAAAGCTCTGTGTATTCAAGAATCAAAGTTGTGTGTTACCTCTCCATAGGTGATGTTTGTGAGCTTTTATAGGTTCCGTGTGACATAATCCAAGTAGGACTCTTACTCTTCCATGTAGAGTCCTCCTAGGATTCATACTCCTGAAAGATAATGCTTATCCTTCAACACCCCCCTCACTGCTTAAACCAAGTGAGATGGTTTTTACCATGGCCGAACTCCAATATGACCGAAGTAATCATGATCACGCCGAGCCACAGAGAAGACCGAACTATCTTTAGTTCGGTTCTACCTTCAATGTTCTTACCCCAGTTCCTCATGTGTCAACAGTGTTAAGTCTAAATCGATCTAACTTCTAGCAAGGCTTTTAGACCGAACTAACCATGCTGTGCCTTAACCGATATAAGATTTAGTATGGTGACCGGGCTAACCTCTTTGGGACCGGAGTAACTTTAACGGCTTTTTTACTCATCCCTTCGCCCTAAGGCCCACAACGGCCTATTTACGTAGCTCGGCCCAATTTCCATATAAATTACCCTCTCAGGTTTGATAACCTTTTTGTGTGTAACCAGGCTTGCCTTGGAAGTTGTCGGCTTTGGGCATATGTTTTGTTGTTATTTTCTTTACTTGTGATTGTTGCACATGCTATAGATTCACCTTTTTAGGAGATTGAATATATATTGCATGTGAACATTTTTGTATACCTCTCATAAGAAATGAAATGCTATTTGAGGGAAATTGATTTATCAAGGTGAAATAGTGTAATGGATGGAAATTATCATGCCTAGATTGTATATATACATATATATATTTTGAAGGGGGGCATTACATCACCCATCATTCCATGATCCTATGAATAATCCCATGAATGATCTCATGATCCTAGATTCCTCCCTCTTTTCTTTTTATTTTTTTATTTCCCCCTATTTTTTAAATTTTTCTCTCTATTTGTCTTTTTATATTTTATTTTCTACTTTTTGTTCACTTATTTTTATTTACACCGTGCCTTCAGGCACGGACATACACTAATATTTCTAAAAATATGAAGCATTTTATTTAAGAGAAGACTTTCATAGGTTAAAATAATTTCATGGAATTACATAATTAACTAGTTTTCAGCCTCGTGCTATGCAATTAAGGTTATGATAGGCGTAATGTGTTTTTATAAGAAACGGTGCTTTTATAATGAATGGAACTCCTCAAACCCTACAATTATGGAGAACTGAAATCACAATCTCAAGATTATTATCATTCAAATATAGTCTAATATTAAGGTTCCACATAATCCTAGCTGGAATAGCTAATAAAAAATGAAAAACTCTAAGTATATCAATTAAACATCACCATTTTCACATTTTTAGCTACAAAACTTGTGAGAGAGAGAAGGAGAGAGAAGGCGAGAGATGGCTCTGAGAAGTCGAAGGGCTTTGGATCGTCGAAGTCGAAGGGGGCTATAGCTACTCAAGTGGATTGGATTGTCGAAGTCAAAGGGCTATCGCTAGTCGAAATGGACTGGATGGAGGTCGATTGGCTCAAGATTGAAGTCATGAGAACAAGAGAGAGAGTGAGGCTTATGGTGAAAGTCGTCCAAATTGAAGTCGCTGACCAGGTTTGTACTCTTTTTCTCTTTCGTTCACTCTTCTCGTAGACCGTGTCCCATGGCGTGTCTAGATTTGGACATGCGTGTCCCCACCATGTCTTAGCTGTGTCCCTTGCAAAAAAATAAATTGAATTAAGGGGACATGCCATCTGACGTGTCTCGTACGTATCCCCGTATCCGACACCGCCACGGCTTCCATTTTGGCGTGTCCATACTTCATAGTATAAAGTCCACCATTTAGCAATGATGTTATTGGACGAGGGACCAAGCTTCGTTATTACTTTAACATAGTGTTAGACCATAACCTATTAGCTGGGTGGGTTTGTTGGTCTCGCTAACCCATCAAAAAGGTCAAGATTGGATGTGAGGAATGTGATGCAAGTAGGTAATGTAAACCAATATGTATGTTCATTAAAAAAAATGTGCAATCCTGACCGCCTTGGAAACCACCATAAACTGAATACATGGAATTATTATGACAATTATAGCACAAGTACAAACCTGACTCAGCAACAAATAATTTTTTGTCTGGAATATAGTCATGACATTAGGAGATAGTCAAGAAAATATTTGGGACAATGTTAGAGTAAGATGATTGTACATGGAAAGTAGTGTTGCTTGTGCAAACACACACAAGACAGGCCGCATCAGCACCACGCCATTATCCAGTGTCATTTGTGACACATGGACCAATCACATATCTCTGTATACTTCCCTTCTAAGGTAAGTCATGGTTGAAGCTAATGTCAACAAGTTTAAGTCTCAAGCCTAGGTGCCTAGGGAATTTCTCCAGACATCTCCCAGTCTGTAGAAGTACCTACCCAGCATTTCAATTTTCTGCTTGCTTATTCACCTTCTTCATCAATTGCTAACATAACCAACAAATACTATTTCCTTCTCTTTCTTTGCAAAATAATGACCCATTTCAAGATTTATACATTTCCAATCCTCCTTGTGCGGTGTTTGGCTTTTATGGAAGAAAAATTAGATAGAGAGAGAGAGCTCAATATCCCTAAACGTGATTACATTGACTTTAATATCTTTGGTACTTATAGAGGCTGGGCTTCTCATATCTTTTGTGATCACCGATAACTGGAAAGATGGAAAGCAATTTATCCCTATGATTCCGGCATAGCTTCTGTTGCATGGGACGTATGCATAGCCACCTATAACCCACTTCTTTTCCCAAGAATTTTTTATGAGCCAGACGGGTTCTCCATTGTAAGTCCCCTTGCCTACAAGACTAATCACATGTCATTCCACACGTGGATGGTTGACAAGATCTAATTCATTACTCAGTTTCATCATATCAAGCCCGTGTAAAAAACAGGACGGCTTGTATACACTCTACATATAAAAATAAATTACAATAACATTTAATTACATGCTATTTTAAAATTATGCGAATAAAACATTTTTGTATTCAGTAGTTTATATCCCCTTATGAAGATCGTAAGACTCATGGTAGGCTATATAAATAGTGATCGGGTGATACTGGAGAATTCTTGACGTCTCATCCTCATTTTCGGCTTCAATCCCGTAATATCCATCGATAAAAACTCTCGGACTATGAAACTACAAAAAATTATAAACATCATAAATACAATATATATATAATTTTTATCAGCAAAAATAAATTTTAATAATAATAATTAAGGAACAATATAAATGATTATCATCAATAAAGGGAGGGTAAGTGCAAAAGAGCATCACAACAAAACTAAACGATCCCAATTAGGTTTACACCGAAATAGCTTGCCCAATCATTTGCTAGCACAACCCAACATTGGTGTCACCAACAAACAAGACAAGTGCAATACGCAAAATAAAAAGAAAGCCAAAAGTGAAACGAAGGACAAACTAACAAGCAACCTGTATAACAACCAAAAAACTCCTAGTAATCCACATAGCTGCTAGCAAAATACCAACTCACTTCCCTGCAATTAACATTCCACAGCTGTCAAGCATTCCTCCTTTCTCAGCTTCCACTAGATACAACCTTCTCCCAAACAAATCAGACCAATAACCCAAGCTCCATAACCAACGATCCAATTCACCAGATACCAACAATCGAATTCACAAGAATCATTTGTAATCGCCACAGTTGCCAGACCCACAGCTTCCACCTTCATTTCAGCACTCTTGACTTAACCACCTTGGTTCCCGCCCCTTCTCACCTGGTTTATATTTGAAACAATCTCATTTATAGAGTAAAAGCACACAACATTATGTGATTTCAACCAGATGGCTAATCCTACTTCGATACTCAACCAAAGTTGGAGGCATTGAGGGAGTTTATCAAAGTGAGATTAGCCATCTGGTTGAAATCACATAATGTTGGGTGCTTTTACTCTATAAATGAGATTGTTTCAAATATACACCTGGTGAGAAGGTGCTGGAACCGAGGTGGTTAAGTCAGGACTGTTGAAATGAAGGTGGAAACTGTGAGTCTGGCAGCTGTGGTGATTACAAATGATTCTTGTGAATTGGATTGTTGGTATCTTGTGAATTGGATGGTTGGTTAAGGAGCTTGGGCTATTGAACTGATTTGTTTAGGAGAAGGCTGCATCTGGTGGAAGTGAGAAATGAGGAATGCTTGACTTCTGTGGGATGTTAATTCCAAGGGATGTGGGTTGGTATTTTGCTAGCAGCCATGTGGATTACTTGGGGTTTTATGGCTGTTACACTGGTTGCTTGTTAGTTTATCCATTGTTTCACTTTTAGCTTTCTTTTTGTTTTGCGTATTGTAGTTGTTGGTTGGTGACAGCAATTTTGAGTTGTGCTAGCAAATGATTGGGCAAGCTATTTCGGTGTTAACCTAGTTAGGATCGTTTAGTTTTGCTGTGATGCTCTTTTGCACTTGCCCTTCTTTTATTGATGATAATCATTTGTATTGTTCCTTGATTATTATTATTAAAGTTTATTTTTTTTGATAAAATATATATATACATTGCATTTATGCTAATTATAATTTTTGTAGTTTCATAGTCCGAGAGTTTTTATCATTGGATATAATGGGATTGAAGCCGGAAATGAGGATAAAATATCAAGAATTCTCCAGTATCACCCGATCACGATTTATATAGCCGGCCATGAGTCTTTTGATTGTTATAAAGGGGAATAAACCACTAAATAAGAAAATGTTTTATTTGAATAATTTTGAAATAACTTGTAATTAAATGTTATTGTAATTTATTTTTTATATGTAGGGCGTGTACAAGCCACCCGTTTTTTACACGGGCTAGATGTGATGAAGCTGAGTGATGAATTAGATCTTGTCAACCATCCACTGGTGGAATGCCATGTGATTTGTCTTGTAGGCAAGGGGACTTACAATGGAGAACCCGTCTGGCTGATAAAAAAATTCTTGGGGGAAGAAGTGGGGTATAGGTGGCTATGCATACATCCCACGCAACGGAAGCTACGCTAGAGTCATAGGGATAAATTGCTTTCCATCTTTTCCAGTTATCGGTGATCACAAAAGATATGAGAAGGCTCGCCTCTATAAGTATCCAAGGTTTTAAAGGTAATGTTATCACATTTGGGGATATTGAGCTCTCTCTCCCTCTCTTATTTTTCTGTCATAAAAGCCAAACACTGCCCAAGGAGGATTGGAAATGTATAAATCTTGAAATGGGTCATTATTTTGCAAAGAAAGAGAAGGAAATAGTATTTGTTGATATGTTTGCAATCGATGAAGAAGGCGAACAAGCAAGCGGAAAACTGAAACGTTGGGTAGGTATTTCTACAGACTGGGAGATGCCTAGAGAGTTTTGCTAAGCGCCAAGGCTTGAGACTTCAAACTGTGTACATTAGCTTCAACCATGACTTAACTTAGAAGGGAAGTATACAGAGATATGTGATTGGTACATGTGTCAAATGACACTGGATAATGGCGTGGTGTTGATGTGGCCTGTCTTGTGTGTGTTTGCACAAGCAGCACTGCTTTCTTTGTACAATCATCTTACTCTAATCTTGTCCCAAATATTTTCTTGACTATCTCCTTATGTCATGACTATATTCCAGACAAAAAATTGTTTGTTGTTGAGTTAGGTTTGTACTTGTACTGTAATTGTCTTAATAATTCCATATATTCAGTTTATGGTGGTTTCTAAGATGATCAGGATTGCACTTTTTTTTTAATGAACATACCTATTGGTTTACATTACCCATTTGCATCACATTCCTTCACATCCAATCTTTGACCTTTTTGATGGGTTTGTGAGACCAACAAACCCACCCAATTAATAAGTTATGGTCTAACACTATGTTCAAGTAATAACGGAGCTTGGTCCCTCGTCCAATAACATCATTGCTAAATGGTGGAGTTTATAGATATATATCTTGTTTGCTAGTCACTTGAATATTTTCATGTTTAACCTTTCCCATGCTAAAAATAAATTTAAAATCTGTTTGAACTATTTTTGGATTTTATTTAGGGCTATATACAGTGGTGGGATGAATGGTTACATAGCCCGTTGTGCTGGAGATCCTTGCCCCCCAATTTTCCAGTCACCAGTTTCTGGAATGGACGATATTATGGACAATCAAGTCGTCTAAGCTTACATGCAATCAAAATAATTGTGTTGGATTAATTGAATTCCCTTTTTTTATCTTGAGCTGTTACATTGTGTTTACTTTTTCCCTATTCACCATCTAGATACGCTCTATACAGACTTCTAGATGCTCACAAACATCACTCGACCACTTGCTAGGGTTGTATTCCCGAAGAAGGTTTTATCTTGTCATGTTCTCTGCTTGTCATTATCATTCCTCTTGTTAGTAGTTTATTTATTTTTATTTCTGCATTTTGTTTCAATACATCAGGCATCTACTTGTATAGAGATGCATCTTTGTTTTTGTGATTAACCCTTATGCGTGTCTACTTATTTCATGGTTATGCAAGGTAATGGAAATCAAGAAGATAATAACAAATAATGATGGGAGATGCATTCAACCAAGGTTTAGAGGGAGCACAAAGACTCACAATGGTTCAATATTAGACTAGGTTTGTACTCCTGTTCTCTTTCGTTTACTCTTCTCGCCGACCATGTCCCATGGCATGTCGAGATTTGGACACGTTTGTCCCCGCCATGTCTTTGCCGTGTCTCTTGCAAAAAAATAAATTAATTAAGGGGACAAACCATCTGGCATGTCCCGTACGTGTCCCTGTATTCGACACAGCCACAACTTCCATTTTGGCGTGTGCATGCTTCATGGTATAAAGTCCACCATTTAGCAAGGATGTTATTGAATGAGGGATCAAGCTCCGTTATTACTTGAACATTGTGTTAGACCATAACTTATTAGCTGAGTGGGTTTGTTGGTCTCGCTAACCCATCAAAAAGGTCAATATTGGATGTGAAGGAATGTGATGCAAATGGGTAATGTAAACCAATATGTATGTTCATTAAAAAAAATATGCAATCTTGATCATCCTGAAAACCACCATAAATTGAATACATGGAATTATTAAGACAATATAGCACAAGTACCGACATGACTCAGCAACAAATAATTTTTTGTCTGGAATATAGTCATGACATTAGGATATAGTCAAGAAAATATTTGGGACAAGATTAGAGTAAGATGGTTGTACAAGGAAAGTAGTGCTTGGTGTGCAAACACACATAAGATAGGCCACATCAGCACCACGCCATTATCCAATGTCATTTGTGACACATGGACCAATCACATATCTCTGTATACTTCCCTTCTAAGGTGAGTCATGGTTGAAGTTAATGTACACAGTTTTAAGTCTTAAGCCTAAGTGCTTAGGGAAATTCTCTAAGCATCTCCCAGTCTATAGAAGTACCAACCCAACATTTCAGTTTTCTGCTTGCTTGTTCACCTTCTTCATTGATTGCAAACATAACCAACAAATACTATTTCTTTCTTTTTATTTGCAAAATAATGAGCCATTTCAAGATTTATGCATTTCCCAATCCTCCTTGTGCGGTGTTTGACTTTTATGAAAGAAAAATAAGAGAGAGAGAGCTCAATATCCCCAAATGTGATAACATTGCCTTTAATGCCTTTGATACTTATAGATGTGAGGCTTCTCATATCTTTTGTTATCACCGATAATTGGAAAAGATGGAAAGCAATTTATCCCTAAGACTCCGGCGTAGCTTCCGTTGCGTGGAATGTATGCATAGCCACCTATACCCCACTTCTTACCCCAAGAATTTTTTATCAGCCAGACGGGTTCTCCATTGTAAGTCCCCTTGTCTACAAGACAACTCACATGACATTTCACCAGTGGATGGTTGACAAGATCTAATTCATCACTCAGCTTCATCGCATCAAGCCTGTGTAAAAAATGGGGTGGCTTATACACACCGTACATATAAAGATAAATTACAATAACATTTAATTACAAGTTATTTCAAAATTATTCAAATAAACATTTTCGTATTTAGTAGTTTATGCCCCTTTATAACGATTGAAAGACTCATGGCAGGCTATATAAATAGTGATCGGGTGATACTGTAGAATTCTCGACATCTCATCCTCATTTACAGCTTCAATCACATAATATCCAAAGATAAAAACTCTCGGACTATAAAACTACAAAATTATAAACATCACAAATGTAATATATATGTATATATATATATTTTTTTTTATTCAGCGAAAATAAACTTTAATAATAATAATCAAGAAACAATACAAATGATTATTATCAATAAATGGAGGGTAAATGCAAAATAGCATCAAAGCAAAACAAAACGATACCAACTAGGTTGACACCGAAATAGCTTGCCCAATCATTTACTAGTACAACCCAAATTGGTGTCACCAACCAACAAGACAAGTACAATACGCAAAATAAAAAGAAGCCAAAATTGAAACAAGGATAAATTGACAAGCAACCAGTATAATAGCCATAAAACCCCAAGTAATCCACATGGCTGCTAGCAAAATACAAACTCACATCCCCTACAATTAACATTCCACAGTAGTCAAGCATTCCTCCTTTCTTAGCTTCCACCAGATGCAGCCTCCTCCCAAACAGATCAGATCAATAACCGAAGCTCCTTAACCAACGATCCAATTCACAAGAATCATTTGTAATCACCACAAATACCAAACCCACAGTTTTCACCTTCATTTCAACAGTCATGACTTAACCACCTCGGTTCCCGCACCTTCTCACCTGGTGTATATTTGAAACAATCTCATTTATAGAGTAAAAGCACCCAACATTAGGCAAGGGGACTTACAATGGAGAACTCGTCTGGCTGATAGAAAATTCTTGGGGAAAGAAGTGGGATATAGGTAGCTATGCATACATCTCACGCAACGGAAGATACGTCGGAGTCATAGGGATAAATTGTTTTCCATCTTTTCCAGTTATCGGTGATCACAAAAGATATGAGAAGCCTCGCCTCTATTAGTATCAAAGGTATTAAAGGCAATGTTATCACATTTGGGGATATTGAGCTCTCTCTCTTATTTTTCTTTCATAAAAGCCAAACACCGCACAAGGAGGATTGGGAAATGTATAAATGTCGAAATGGGTCATTATTTTGCAGAGAAAGAGAAGGAAATAGTTTTTGTTGGTTTTGTTTGCAATCGATGAAGAAGGTGAACAAGCAAGCGGAAAACTAAAATGCTGGGTAGGTACTTCTACAGACCAGGAGATTCCAGGAGAGTTTCGCTAAGTACCTAGGCTTGAGACTTAAAATTGTGTACATTAGCTTCAACCATGACTCAACTTAGAAGGGAAGTATACAGAGATATGTGATTGGTCCATGTGTCACAAATGACAATGGATAATGGCGTGGTGCTGATGTGGCCTATCTTATGTGTGTTTGCACAACAAGCACTGCTTTCCTTGTACAATCATCTTACTCTAATCTTGTCCCAAATATTTTCTTGACTATCTCCTAATGTCATGACTATATTCCAGACAAAAAATTGTTTGTTGTTGAGTTAGGTTTGTACTTCTGCTGTAATTGTCTTAATAATTCCATGTTTTAAGTTTATGGTGGTTTCCAAGATGGTTAGGATTGCACATTTTTTTTAATGAACATACCTATTGGTTTACATTACCCACTTGCATCACATTCCTTCACATCCAATCTTGACCTTTTTGATGGGTTTGCGAGACCAATAAACCCACCCAGTCAATAGGTTATGGTCTAACACTATATTCAAGTAATAACGGAGCTTGGTCCCTTGTGCAATAACATCATTGCTAAATGGTGGACTTTATAGATATATATTTGTTTTGCTAGTCACTTGAATATTTTCATGTTTAATCTTTTCCATGCTAAAAATAAATTTAAAATCTGTTTGAACTATTTTCTGATTTTATTTAGGGCTACATATAGTGGTGGGATGAATGGTGATATAGCCCGTTGTGCTAGAGATTCTTGCCCCCCAATTTTTCGGTCACTAGTTTCTGGAATGGACGATATTATGGACAATCAAGTCATTTAAGCTTACATGCAATCAAAATAATTTTGTATTGGATTAGTTGAATTCACTTTTTTTATTTTGAGCTGTTACATTGTGTTTACTTTTTCCGTATTCACCATCCAGATGCGCTATATATAGACTTCTAGATGCTCACAAACATATCACTTGACCACTTGCTGGGGTTATATTCCCAAAGAAGGTTTTATCTTGTCATGTTCTCTGCTTGTCATTAACATTCCTCTTGTTAGTAGTTTATTTATTATTTTTATTTCTGCATTTTGTTTCAATATATAAGGCATCTACTTGTATAGATGTGCATCTTTGCTTTTGTGATTGACCCTTATGCGTGTCTGCTTATTTCATGGTCAAGCAAGGTAATGGAAATAAGAAAGATGATAACAAATAATGATGGAGATGCATTCAACCAAGGTTTAGAGGGAGCACAAAGACTCACAATGTTTCAATATTAGACCAGGTTTGTATTCCTTCTCTCTTTCGTTTACTGTTCTCGCCAACTGTGTCCCAATGTGTGTCCGTGTCCCAATGCATGTCCAGATTTGGACACGCATGTCCTCGCCATGTCTTCGCTGTGTCCCTTGCAAAAAAATAAATTAAATTAAGGAGACACCATCTGGCGTGTCCCGTACATGTCCCCGTATCCGACACTACCACAGCTTCCATTTTGGCGTGTCCATGCTTCATAGTATAAAGTCCACCATTTAGCAAGCATGTTATTGGACGAGGGACCAAGCTCCGTTATTACTTGAACATAGTGTTAGACCATAACCTATTAGCTAGGTGGGTTTGTTAGTCTCGCTAACCCATCAAAAAGGTCAAGATTGGATGTGAAGGAATGTGATGCAAGTGGGCAATGTAAACAAATATGTATCTTCATTAAAAAAAATGTGCAATCCTGATGATCCTGGAAACCACCATAAATTGAATATATGGAATTCTTAAGACAATTACAGCACAAGTACAAACCTAAAAGTATATGACTAGCATCCATATCAATCACATCCCAAACGACATCTTCTTTATAATGCTTGCTAATGGAAATAGAAACAGAAACTCGGCGAATTTTAGTTACCTTCGTTGTCAGGCCTTTCTTGATCCAACCAATGTTGTAAAGATTGCGATGTGGCTCGGTTTGTAGTTTCAAATGTTCTGCCAAAATCTTCGCCACAAAGTTCTCGCAACTCCCACTATTAACAATCAAATCACATACTTTTTGGTTTGACTGAACATGATCGAAAAATGTTATGGCACTGATTAAAATCCTCCGTCTTTCGTTGGACCACACAGTTGACTCGTTCTCCATCCTCCATGGCAAACTTAGCCTCATCATATAGATCATGATCATCATCTTCTGTGCCTTCATCAGCACCAAAGTCATCATCTTCTTCCACTAGGTTGACCGGCCTTCGCTCTGGACAAACATTGGAACGGTGGCCGGGTTTGCCACACCTATAGCACTTGTCCGTTGTCGGCCTAGCATAAGGGTTAGGATTTTTAGGAGCTTCTCTAGCCATTGAACTAGTTGTCTGGTTATTGCCTCCGCCACCAACACCCTTGGGTTTGTTTGTAGTAGTCGACGTTTGGACCCTTTTTCCTTTTTTAGAGGTAGAAAAAAAAGAATCCGTAGTTGTCCGTTAATACCCCGAATATGTTGTGTTGCGCTCCAATAACTCAACTTTGAGAGCCATATTGTGTGCTTTGTCCACGGTCCACAAAACTATCAAACCAATCTTCTCTCGAATGGTTTGCTTCAACCCGTTGAGATATCTGGCTACTCGTTGTCTTTCTGTTTCATTCAGATTGTTGTGATCTGAAATTTGAGAAAACTCGGCAGTGTAGTCAAACACAGATTTGGACCCTTGTACGCAATTTTGATAAAGTTGTTATAAGTATTGCTCAGAGTCTGGTGGTAGAAATTTGTCCATGAGAAGTTGCTTCATATGTCGCCAAGTCCGCATTGGGTCTTTGCCTTGTCGTTGTCCAATTCTTTGTAATTAGTCCCACCAAACTGCAGCGTCTCCCTTTAATTTGTATGCAACTAGTTTCACTATCCGACTCTGAAACCTCTATCATCTCGAAGAACTGTTTAGCTTCAGAGATCCAATCCAAGAAATCTTCAATATGTAGATTTTCATTGAATTGAGGAATATCAATCTTCAACTGGTAGTCATCGATCCATTGTTGTTGTTTCCTTGGTTGATGACCTCCGCACTCCTCCTCAACCTCTAGCTCGAACCCTTCACTGTCTGATTGATACTGGCATGGACGTCTCAAGTTGTTTTGGACAAGATGGCCTCGGGCAATTCCTGCGGTGCAAACTTTGTCTTGGTTAATTGGTTGGCCTTGGGCAACCCCCTCAGCACGTGCCCGATCAACCGCTGGTGGTTTGTTGTTGGCATTGAGAGTCAACCCCGCAATCATGTCACGAATCTCGTCTAATTGCCGTTGTCTCTCAAATGCTTCCCACAAAGCATTAATCCCACGATTACTGTCAGTAGGGTTCGTGTATGCACTATGAAGCAAGGACACCTCTCTGAGGGCTCCGTACCAGTGTCGGACACGTGTCAGGCACGGACACGCGTCGGACACACGGTGGACCCGTGTCCAACATGCACTAGAGAGTGTCCATTTTTTTTAAAATTTTTTTGAAGCCGGACACGTCCAGGACACGTTATGGACACTTGCGGGACACGTACGGGGTCAATTTCAGAATTTACAAAACATTTTTAGGGTCAATTTCAGAATTTACAAAATATTTTTGGGGTCAATCTGTAAAAAAACAAAAATAACTTCTGTTTGCCCTAAATCAATCAAAAGCCCTAAATCAATCAAAGAGCTTAGCAGAGAACAAAAAGAGAGAGAGAGAAGGCGAAGATAACAGAGGAGAAAGAGAACTTGGTCGCTCGTCGTCGCTCCTCGGTCGTCGCTCAGCGCTCGTAAGGTATAGCTTCTTCTTCCTTCCTCGGCTTCGGTTTTCTTCCTTCTTCCTTCTTCTTCTGGTCTTCGTTCGTCAGTCGATGTTTCTCTCTCTCTCTGTCTGTCGACGTCTCCTCTCTCTTTCTCTCTTTGAGTATATTTTTGTTTTTTATTTTGTTTTTTCATGTCTTTTTTTTTTCTATTTTCATTTTATATTTTTTTCCCCTGTATGTCTTATTTCAGAATATATATATATTTATTAATTAGTTTTGTTAATATGTCTTATTTTAGAATATATATATTTTATTAGTTTTGTTAATTTTGATAATAATGTGTGTTTATTAATTTTATTATAGGAACAAATTTGTAATTCTAAAACAATGGCTACTACGGGTGGTAGTTCTAATGATATACCTGATGATGATTTTGATGAGAACAAACCATTGTGGTAGTATATAACTAAATTAGCAAAACCTGGGGAAGGAGGAGGAAATTGCCAATTACAATGTAATTTTTGTAATAATACTTTCAAAGGTTCATATACAGGAGCAAGGGCACACCTATTAAAACTACCAGGAAAGGGAATTGGTGTTTGTAAGAAAATTACAAGTCAAAAACTTTCACAATTGCAAAATGAGAATGATGCTGCTGAATTGAGAATTAAAAATGCTTATCCCAAAAATGTACCACTGCCCCCTTCTAGTGTATCAATTGGTAGTAGTTGTGCTTATGAATCAAAGAAAAAGAGCACATGTGCAAGTGGGAGTGGAAGTGCGCTTGGGAGTGGGAGTGGGAGTGGGAGTGGGAGTGCTATTGAGAAAGCATTCAACATGAAGGATAGAGAGCAATTACATTTTGAAATTGCTAGGATGTTCTACTCGCGCGGGGGGAGGGGAGGGGGGTACCATTTAATCTTGCAAGAAATCCTTACTATGTTAGCTCTTACACATTTGCTGCAAACCATAATATTTCTGGATATTTGCCTCTCGGTTATAATTTGTTATGAACCACATTACTTCAAAAGGAGAGGGCAAATATTGATAGATTGTTGCAACCAATTAGGGGCACATGGAAGGAAAAAGGGGTGAGCATTGTTAGTTATGGTTGGAGTGATTCTCAAAGGAGGTCTTTGATTAATTTTATGGCGGTGAGTGAAAGTGGGCCTATGTTTATTAAGGCAGTTGATTGTTTTGGAGAAACTAAAGACAAATATTTTATTGCAAATTTGATGAAAGAAGTGATTAATGAGGTTGGGGCTAGTAATGTTAAAGTCATCACGGATAATGCTCATAATTGTAAGGCAGCTGGACAACTCATTGAAGCTCAATTCTCTCATATTCTATGGACTCCTTGTGTAATGCACACATTAAATCTAGTTTTGAAAAATATTTGTGCGGCAAAGAATATTAAGAGGAATGAGGTCACATATGAAGAGTGTAGTTGGATTAGTGATATTGCCGGAGATGGTTTGATGATTAAGAATTTTATCTCTAATCACTCAATGCGATTGGCTATGTACAATGAATTTGTGTCATAGAAGTTGCTATCGGTTGCCGAAACACGATTTGCCTCCACTATTGTGATGCTCAAGAGGTTGAAGCTTATAAAACATGGGCTTCAAGCAATGGTAATTAGTGACAAGTGGGATTGCTATAGAGAGGATGATGTTGGGAAGGCAAAATTTGTAAAAGAAAATATTTTGGATGATGTGTGGTGGGACTACATTGATTATATTCTTTCGTTCACGGGTCCTATATATGACATGCTTAGGGTTTGTGATACGGACAAACCTTGCCTTCACTTAGTGTATGATATGTGGGACACAATGATAGAGAAAGTGAAGATGACATTATATAGGCATGAAGGGAAAAGAATAGATGAGGAATCTACATTTTACAATGTGGTACATCAAATTCTCGTGGATCGTTGGAATAAAAACAATACTCCTCTCCATTGTATGGCACATTCATTGAATCCAAAGTAAGTATCTAGTTTTTCTTGAAATAATTATTTTTTTCTATTTTGTATTGTAGATGTTATAGTGATGAGTGGCTCTATGAGGATCAAAATAGAGTTCCTCCACATAGGGATGAAGAGGTGACACGTGAGAAGAACAAGTGTTTTAAGAGGTATTTTGAAGATATCACAGAGCGAACCAAGGTGATAATTGAGTTTGGAAAATTTTCGGGTTATGTTGAAGCATTCTCGGAGTATGATTCCATTCATAATAGGTGGCACATGGACCCTTATACTTGGTGGTGTGCATATGGTGCATATGCACCATCTCTTAAAAAACTAGCTTTGAGATTACTTGTGCAACCCGCCTCTTCATCTTGTTGTGAGAGAAATTGGAGTACTTACTCCTTTATTCACTCAGTGAGAAGGAACAAAATGGTCCCTCAAAGACCGGAGGACTTGGTGTTCATTCATAGCAATCTTCGTCTTTTATCAAGGAGGAGCTCCCAATACTTGCAAGAAGAGACAAAAATGTGGGACATTGCTGGAAATAATTTTGACTCACTTGAAGATATTGGAATGCTTGGGATAGCTAACCTCTCACTTGATGAACCGGCTATGGAGGCGGTCCTATTTACAGATGAAGGAGAAGATGGAGGTGGTGGTGAAGATGTTGTAATGGTTTCCTCTACTTAAATTCACATTTTCTGATATTTATGGATTTTGTAATAGATGATAGTTGTTGGTACATTGGATAATTTTATATTTTGTGGTTTGATTTTCATGCATTTTGTAACAAATGATGGTTGGTAGCTTCGAATGACATGTTATGTATTGATGGAATGCAATTTTATGTTATTTCAATGTTTTTTTAATTATTTTTTAATAATTTTATGACATGTAATAAATAAAATTAATTATATATATTGAACGTGTCCCCAGCGTGTCGTGTCCCCCATTTTTTGAAAATTTGCGTGTCCATGCTGTGTCTGTGTCGTGTCGCGTGCCCGTGCTTCATAGTGTTTACATCTCTGTCTTGTGCCATTGAGCTAGGCAAAACCTAGCTCTGATACCCACTTGACACAACGGAATACGCATGAAACTAGATATCGTTCTAGTGGACGAAGACTCTTGAATCCACAAGCAAAATAGAGTAACTTGAAAATTATATTGAGAGAGAATGCCTTTGCCTCTAGGCTTACATAACTATTTATACTAGACAAAGTCTTGGTCACCAAGCATACTTGGATACCAAGTAATATAAAAGGAACTAATTAACTAGGGCAGTACTAGTCTTGGTCAACAAGAATACTTGGAGACCAAGTATAGGAAAATATAAGAAAGTAATAAATTAAAAAGTGGGGTTGGCCTGAGGATGAGATTCTTGTGGCTTTTGAGAAGAATCTGTGGTGTATTGTGGCATCAGAGCATAAGCTCATGAGTGATGGAATTTTTTTTCAATAAAATTGGTGGGATTCTTCATTTCTTGCAAGAAGTTCAATACTTATTGGTTTTAGCTTAGAAAAGAGGATTGTTCCAAGGTGTGCAGTGTATCAAGTATTGTTGTCGAAAGGTTTGATTAAGAACAACAGTTTTAACTTGACAACTATGTTGACTAAACCTGAAAAGTGGTTCCTAACAAAGGTTGTCAACTGTCATGGGGAAGAAGCTCCTGAGCTATTGAAATTGTATAAGGAAAAGTTGGCTCTTGCAAAGCAAATAGCATATGGGCATGTAGATGAGAGTGGTTAAGGATGTTTCTTTTGATACCAACTCAACAAAAAATTGCCATGTTGTTTTGCTTCTCCTGGTTTAACTCTGGTTATTGAATTATCTCATTTTGTCATCTGTAAGCAAGTTTGAGTTCAATTTTTTTACTCTGACAAATGGGATTTGAAGGTTCACATTGCTGCATTGAATCTTTATCATTCTGTATTGGCTGAGGCTTGAAGCAGTGTACCTATATCTGAAGATTAGCCAACTCCTTAATGCTGCATTCATCATTTGAGTAACCATTGCACATTAACAGTGATAATGTAGATTGTTGTGTCCAATAAATTGTTGATGTTATGCCTATGAGATGTTAACACTGTGTTGGTAAGATAAGCCATTGTAACTTTTTGGTTGGGCTAATTGTGAAAGCCTCATTTGAAGGTAAGTAATCTTTCAAAAGTTTAAATGACATGATTTCAAGTGGCAACTGACAAAGATTGTCACATTTTCTTCAAGGATGCATGTTGCATTTTCTTAAGTTCACTCTTCTATTGCAAGGTTCCCGAATTTTGTATACTATTTACTGCATACAATAAGTGTAGAGGCTAGACAGGAACTAATATTTAGCTTCAATTTGAAATAACAATGATAGTTGAAATGGTTCACAACATATGGAAGTGCAGAGAAGCCTCTGGAATTTGTTGAAGGCTTATGGACTAGATGAGTGATCGGTATTAGAATCTTCTTGAATGTGTTTAATTAATTCATCCATAGCTAACGCCAATAGATAAGGATGCAAAGTTGACCCTTGATGCAACATCCTGTAGTGATTGGAAATTAGCAAATAGCCCAGGGGTTCTGAATAAGCTGAAATTAGCAACTTCAATTATGGAAATCATTGAAACCTTTTAGCTACCCTGCATTTGGTTTGTGCAATTCTGTTAACCAATGATGTTCATGGTCGTTCTGGTTGCTTAGTTTCCACATTTCTCATGTACATTAGAAGCATAACTGTGGTGCAAAGCTGTCATATAATTACTGAAATGTTCCACATTGTGAGCTGTGGGCTTATAATTTGAGGTTATCAGATCTAGGTTATTATTTGTATTCTATTGGAAGCTATTATTTGTTTTCTATTGGAATGGGCATGTGGCATGGCTGGTGCTGGACATTTTTACCTTTTGACATTACCTTAAGCTGTATAAATAAGCTCACATTCTGTTGTCTTTTTCATTGTCTGTTTTTAGTCGGTTGAGATAGGGGATCTAAAACCTGTGTAAGATCTGCAGAAGTAGCCAACAAGCAGCATCCGGAATGAGTGAAGAAAATAGCTAAGCTGGAAGCAGAGTGCCAAAGATTGCATGGTCTTGTGCGGAAGAAGTTGTCAAGTCCTGCAGCACTGGCTCAAATGAAGTTACAAGTAGAGAATTTGGGCTGGGATTACGGTGAAACTCGAGTAAGGAGGTCTCTTCTAAAGCCTCCTAGTCCACACCCACCCCAATTGCCTTTCTTTTCCCTTGATAGTGTACCAAAATTCTACAAAGAGAATGATTTTCTCACAGAACGTCTTTTGGCAATGTAAAAAGAAACAAAGATGTTGAAAAAAGCTTTGGCAATGTGTACTAGTGAATTGCAAGCTTCCAGGAATATTTGTGCTAAGACACTCAGCAAGCTTCAAATTTTAGAATCACAACTGCATGCTAATAATCAACAAAAAAGTCCATCAAAATCTAGTCCATCAAAATGCTATCTGTACCCCAAGCTTCACCTCCATGTCTGAAAATGGAAATGACAATGAAAGAAGTTGTGCTGGTTCTTGGGCTGCAACATCAATCTCTGAGATCTCCCATTTCAAGGGAAAGAACATTGAGAAATCTAACAAGGCTGAAAAAGAAAATCACCTGGAGCTTATAGATGACTTCCTGGAGATGGAGAAATTGGCATCAAATGATTCAAATGGAGCCATCTCTGGTTCAATATTTCAAATAATATGAGATCTGAAATGGTGAACCAGGATACTACAATCAACCCACATTTCCATTCTAAAGAACAGCCTGAGTTGGATTCGTTAGCAAATCATGAGTCTAATTAGGAATTGCCAGTACCAGATCCACAACCTGATATTGATCCACTGCCCTTGATGAAATTCCAAATGCAAATCTCTATGTTGTTTGAGTCCAAGGATGCTGACATGAAAAAAATTTTGGACGACGTCGGATGTGTTGTGCAGGAAACACAGGATAGCCTGCATCACCACACCATGGGTTGTGTTTTTATGGAAAGTCACTGCTCTGATGCCACTTTTGATAGGCAGGCTTGTTTTGAGAGGACTGAAGGAACCGAAGAGAAGGAAATGTCTTTGTCCAAAGGTAGTTTCATTAATGAAGAATTGGTAGCTGCTGTATCTTGGATTCATGACTTTGTATTGGTTATGGGGAATGAAGCTACAGCTGTCCAGGAACATCTCCTGATGGGGATGTACTGAGCCAAAAAATTCAGAAGTTCTCTGCTGCCTCCGATAAGGTTATTAACAGCAAAATAAGTTTGCTTGATTTTGCTCTTGACCTTTCTTGTGTTTTGATTAAAGCCAGTGAACTTCACTTTAATGTCCTGGGCTATAAGAATAATGAAGCAGAAACTAATTGTTCTTATTGCATAGACAAGGTCGCTTTACCTGAAAATAAGGTGGCTTGGAACACATCAGGAGACAGATATTCAAATGGTTGTGCTTACTTTTCTGATTCCACTTCTGATCCCGATATTCCTCGTGAAGGAAGTTTCATTTCAACCTTTGAATCAAATGCTACATCATGGAAATGCTCGCTTGAGGAGTTTGAACAGTTGAAACTAGAAAAAGATAACATGGTTTTGGATCTGGAAAGCACCAAGGCTCAGCTACAGGGAACAGAGCAGCTTCTGGCAGAAGTTAAATCACAATTGGCATCTGCTCAAAAGTTGAACAGCTTGGCTGAGACACAGCTGAAATGTATGGCCGAGTCATACAAGTCTCTTGAAACACGTGCAGAGTAGTTGCAAACTGAAGTGAATCTTTTGCGTGCCAAAACAGAATTTAGATAGCGAGCTTCAAGAGGAAAGGCTGAACCATCAGGATGCTTTGGCCAAATTCAAGGATTTTTTAGTTCCTAGCTTTTTTCTTGCATACTGGTCATCCTGCCCAAACTGTTATGTATTTCAGGACAATGTCCAAAAGGATAGTTGCAGAATCAATTTAAGGCCTGATCAATATCAGGCCAGCATCAGGTTTTATTATATCAAATCTGCTCCATTCTATATGTTTTATGTGGTTAACTACGTTCTTCAAGGAAAGTAGAAATGTAAATAATTGAAACTTTACATGTGACCCATTGATCCTTATCTCTTGTTTCTCCCTCTGAGAAGTTCAATGATTTTCAGAAAGTACATCTTGCATTTCCCTTAGTTTTCTTTTGGACTGAGTTCTGATGCATTTCCCGTATCCACAGTTATTAAGTAAAAGATAGGGCTTCATCAAGCGGTGTTAATTTTCAGTCATTCAGTTGTAGGGACTTGAATCCTTGAAGTAAATATTGGTAGCCTCTGTTCATCTATATATTTGTATGTACTCATGCCTCAAGTAGATTTTGATTTATCTTTGATTCTCTTTATTTTTTATTTTTTAAAAAGGAATGAGAGTTGCACAGTGGCTAACGTTGATGTGACGACTAACCAGGTGAGGGTTTATACTTGTATCCACCTGGTGTTTACAATTTTGAACTTGTTCAAATGCTCACAATCTTTTACTTCCTAACTTCTGATATTTTAACAGATAGTCGTACTTAGCTTCAGGATTTTGTTTATTTATTTAGGATAAATTACAAACACACCCCTTGAGGTTTATCTAAATTACAAATTATTTCCTGTGGTTCTGAAAATTACATTATGCCCCCTAAGGTTTTTAATTTCATAACAAATAAGTCATTTTATTAATAAATTATCAAATTAATTAACAATTTTTAATAATGTTAAAATTTTATTTCAATTAATAATTTAGATAATTTTATTATTGTATGGATGAACAGTTAGAAATTTTATTTTTTTAATTAATTCTGTTAAATAAAAAATTCTAACAGGGATGTAGTTATAATTTTTTAAATTATAAGAGGTAATTCGTATTTTAAGCAAATTTTAAAAGTGTATTTGTGACTTACCCATTTATTTTATGATTGGATCTGCCTCACGCTGTTGGAGTTTTTATAATGAAAAGTTATGCTTAGTCTCTAAATTATTTTTATATTATTTTTTTAAAGAAATGTAGCTGCGTTCCGTACTCTTTCATTTCGTTTCACTCAGCTTGCCACTCTTGTTTGTAAATAATAGTGTGTGTAAGTGGCCATGAGAGTTCACACGATCCTTGAAATGTAAAACTTTGTTGAATGATGATTTAATGAATTAATTACCTAAAAATCTTATTTATAAATGATATAGTAGTTTAGGTCTTATTTAAGATTTTTTGAACTAATAAGTCCTATTTAGTAAAATTGATAATATTATCAATTTTGCATAGTAATATTCCAGATAATTGTTTCAGTAACTAATGGGGGGGGGGAACAAAGTATAAGATTAAACGTTTTCGTCTTTTTATTTATTGGTTTGATTTAACTATCCAATAAAATTGAGAACATTATCAATTTTTTTCAATTTTAAAACTGAGAATATTATTTGTTTTTTCTTTTTTATTATTATTATTTTTTTTCAGTTTTGCATATCAATGTTCCATTATCATGTTCTTTTATAGACACAAAATTTTTAGTTTTACATAAAAATAATTCACCTTTTTCAATTTTTTAGTTTTTTTGTAACAATTTTTTTTTTAGTTTTTTCAATTTGAAAGTTAATGTTTTAAAATTTTGAAAATCAAAATAAATGTTAAATTATTATGTTCCTTTATAGATAATCATAAATGATCAATAATCATTATTTGAAGGGCAATTTTGACTATAAAAAAATTTAATGGGATTTGAAGGTTTAAATTTTTTTACTTAGGATTCAATAGAGTATAAGTTCATTAATAAAAGACTTGATGGAGTATAAGTTTATAAATTGATTTGTGTGTAAATGTCCATTTATTAATCCTTATATACGTCGTGACTTCATAACTTGCATCCCAACTTTTTATAATTGGCTATCTGGCTTTTGCCTTAAAGACTTGGTAGAACATCTGCATCAGCCTTTCTACAATGGCTTTGAAGTTATTATAGAGAGCAAAAGCTGTGAATTTTAGCTCTACCAGACTCTCTATAGTCTTCATTCATTTTGATTTTACTACAGTAACTCATCTGTTTATCGAGGCATTGTTCATACGGTAATTTATTTTTTATTATATTCTCTCTCTCTAAACCCTAACCCTCTCTCTTCCTTCGTCGTCGGCCAAACTTTCCATGACCACCCAGCATCGCCGTCTGAACCTCGATGTATGTTTCCAGACATAGTGGTACGTGACGACGACAAACACGATTTCCACCACGGTTGTGCCAGAATGGAGACAGCAAGCGATGGTGGTTGGATGAGTGGATTTGTGTGTGTGTGTGTGTGAGAGAGAGAGAGAGAGAGAGAGAGAGAGAGAGAGAGAGAAAGAGAGAGAGAGATGCAGAGAGAAAACACTTGGTCCTGACATAAGCAGCAGAATAACTTAGCTTCGATCTCTTCTCTTTCTCTCCAATCTCTTAGGTTTGGTGCTATCTCTCTGTGTATCGAAACCCTGATTTGAGTCCATCCTAGTCCTTCTCTCAAGTCTGCCCCTTCATTCTCTCTCTCTCTATATATCTGTTGTGTTTTCTCAAGGAACAGACAACAAGAATCTGTTGTATTTATTATCTATTCTAATTGTTTTTTTTTTATTTTTAATTCTAGATCTCGTTGGAGTTACGTTTTTGGTTGTTGTTGTTATTATTGATGATTATGAATTTTGTTGTTGATGATGGAACAGATCTGTAATGGCTCATATCTAAATAGATTTGTTGTTGAATAGATCTATAATATATATATATATATATGGAAAATGAGTGGGAGCTCTAATTAGAGCTACCACTAGTGATGTGGCAGTGGGTCCCATTCACTGCCACAGTTTGTATATATATATATATATATTTTTGCTACCTCATTAGTGGTGGGTTTAGAGCTACTAAATTAGTGGTCTCTAGCATCATCGATATATATATAGCGAGAGAGAGAGAGAGAGAGAGAAACTATAACTGGCTAGAGGTACAAATAGAGAAACATTCATTATTATTTTGTTTCACTCATCGCACGGGTACTCCAAATGATTTTTTTTTCTTCACAAATATGTTGTGTTTGATCCCCTCATTCTCAGTTCTCTCACTCTCTCCTTTTTCTTTGTGATGTATCAATGGATATCTATGTTGATGATGATGAAATAGATATAGGACAAATTTTGAACAGATAAGTCAGGTTTGGTTCAAATTTTGAACAGATATAGGACAAAAATGTTCAAAATTATATCTGTTCAAAATTTGAATAGATAATAATAGTTTGTAAATTTTTGTGTAATATTTGAGTGTTAGTGGTAGATAAATTTCAAACATATAGGAAAAATGGGCTTCCAAATTTGAGTAATAGATAAGAAATTGTTATTTTAACATATGAGAAAA